AACACGCGAAAAGCGGCCACGTGGGCTAGGACGAGGAATCGGTCTGAGACGAAGGAGGGGAGGCCGACGGAAGCGGCGCAAGACAAGGCGTGAAGGATGAGGCGCTGAACGGAGCCAGTCAGCACGCGGCCGAAAGCGCACAGAGAAGGAGACATACCACCCAACGCCACAGATGGGGAAAAAACGAATCACTGGGCGAAGCAGTGTCGGCAGCGAGGAGGTGCGCAAGGAGGCCACGGCCCAGTTGTCCAAACAAAGGGCGAACATCCTGAAGAGAGCCGTCCTCGCGACGCCAGACGAAGGAGGAGGGGAACGCATCGAATAGAACACCGAAATAGAGGTGATGGGGCCCGAAGACAAGCGGCTGCCACAGACCGGCCTTCATTAGGCGGTCGAGTCGCACTGCCACAAGATTCGGCGGGGAAGACGACGGCCGCGGGGCGCTCGGGGGGACTGGGAGAGCGGGAGCTCGATGTGAACGGACTACGGGGGCCAACAGAGGGAGCAGCTTGGAGGAATAGTCGTCGGCTTGAGATGGGGGCAAGTCCTCCAACAGGCGCAGGGGCTCGAACGACTCCCGGTGCACGACGGGTCTCGCCCTTGCGCGATGGGCCAGGAAGCAGGAAACTCGACGAGAGACATAGAGGCGAAGCGGACGAACAGACGACCCGGCTCTGAGGATGGGGGAACCATCTGAGAGCTGAAAGGGGGCAACAACCCGGAGCGGTACAAGTTGGGGGACGACATAAAGAGGATTAGAAGGGGAAGCCCCGGCTTATATGGGGGAACGAACGCGTTCTATATCGAACTCGACCGAGGCGCGCAGCACAGCCTACTCGCAAGCAATACGAACAAAGGACGCGCAACTGAATTGAAAAAGACCTACGCTATGCCGCACGTGACCGCGGTGAAACACTTGATGGACAGGAAGGATCGATCTGCGGACGCCACGAGGCGTCAGAAGCCGCGGGAGATTAAAATGCGCAGCCGAAGCTTAGCTTAAGCTTATGGGCTGGATGGAATTTGCGATTGGAAGGACGAGCTAGAGTCAAAATTAAACCCGAGAAACCGGGGCGACCGAGCCACGCCGACTCGAGACGAGTTGTTCCTAGGGAGGGGGTGATGTCACGGATAAGACCCGGCCCGTCCGCTCCGGCGCTGGTGTCGGGCCATTGCGGGCCCGTAACACGCAGCACGTGATGACGGGGAACATGCGCCCCAGTAGGAGGAGGAACGCACACGTGGGAAGCACGTGACCGAGAACGACGCGTCGAGCCGTCGCCAAGCCCAACTTCGACACCAGGGGAATGGGGAGGAGTGCTAGGAGGTCAGGAGTAGCGCCTGGCCCGCAAGGGATGTGCGATCGTCCCCTCTGCGGCCAGGAACGGGAGCGAGGAGGAGGAGGAGAGGCCAGGGTGTCCGATCACCCCCTTTGCGGGGGCCCACGTATATAATGCGCGATAGTGTACCCTGTACTCTATCGCTTAGATCGTCTGAAGAACTACCTTACTCCGTGCGAGAAGACGCTATCGACTCATCGGGCCCGACACGACCCGATTCGAACCTTCGACCACCGACTACGGCAAGGGACCGAGTTCACGGGCCCTTTCGGTTTCGATCTACCCCGCCCGCCATACTTGCGGGCCCGACTATCCGTCTGTTCTGTTCCGGGCGCGCGCTCTGAGGAGAAGTCCTCGCACGGCCCGACCCGCAGTCTGACACAATTGAAGCCATTCACAGAGTAGTTCTGCCTAGACTTCATTTATGCTTACAAACCCAATCCTTCTTCCCTTATAACATATTGATTGATAGTCTCTTAATATTTAACCACTTATGCAAGCTGATAAGTCAAGGAGATAAATATCAAACCATAGTACTGAATAGTAGGGTCCCCTCATGAGTCATTTATTATGATTAATGAAATACTCCCAAAGTTATAGGATAGTTATATATGATCACTAAGTATTTGGCTACATATATCCCCAAGGAGTCTCAGGAGAACATCTATAAATACATTGCTAGATGAGATATTTCATTACATACTTCATTCATTTGGATTGATGCAGCGGTTCCTGAGTTACAATGTGTTTAATTGTTGTCTACTAACTTCAGGGTATTAGGTATATATGATTGTTAAAGACCTGTGACATGCATTTGGACTATTGAGTAGCTAATAAAATGGTCTCCTAAGTTATTCAACTTGGTCAGATAATTGGTAATGAACGTATAGCAGTAGGAACTATGCATTCTGCAAGGCCCTGGAGTAAGTTTACTGCCCTAGTTATTGCCAGCTATAGCATGCATGCAAAACATGCTAGTAGATATTCCATAGCCTACCATGTCACATATTTCTGCCCCAGATTCTCCTTGACTAGAGTAGTGGATTAGGACTACTAACTTCCATGCATTTATGGATATGGCATGTATATTATCTTCAATGAATCCCTTGAAAAAGGTGGAAGGGACCTAGTAGACTCTCTATGACATTGAAACATACATTAGTATGCTCTGGCCAGAAAGTGATGTCTACTAACTTTTGTGCAGTGGACATTGCATTAGTTCAAAGGGCCTTAGCTGTATAAAAGACATACCAGTAGACTTCCTATGGCCTGCATATCCTCCTAGCTACCTTGTCAACCAACCCAGGGGAAGACATCTACTAATCTCTACTCCAGGGGAGTTAGTAGACATCCTGGATCGCAAAGGGGGGCCTTGCAAACTGAAGGTGTCCACTAACTTCCAACAATGTAACTATTATAAATTTATAGCATAGAAGAGATCCAAGTGAGCTTTCCATTGCCAGACATGACACATGTCCTCCCCTCAGCCCAGCTGCTTTATCAACTAAAGGGTTGGAGGATATCTACTAACTTCCTGTCTACTAACTTCTGTGCCAGAGAAGTTAGTGGACATGGTCAACTACACTATCACAAATGCAGGACTTCAGCAGGATAAACTGCATTCCAGAAGACCTCCTATGGCCTTGCACGACACATGTCTCCCCCCTGTCTGCTTTTTCAACCAGTGGTGAAAGATGTCTACTAACTTCCATGACACAGAAATTGGTAGACATGCTTACCTATATTATTATGTGGACTTCAATGGTATAGGAAATATGCCAGTAGACCTTCCATAACTTGTCATGTCACGTGCCTCTCCAGCTGCTGCTTTCTCAATTCAAGTAGTGGAAGATGTCTACTAACTTCGGTGTAGGGAAGCTAGTAGACATGGTCAACTAAACTATCATCAATTTGGGACTTCAGTAGCATAAAAGAGACGCCAATGAACCTGTCATGTCATATATCCCTCCACTAGCTGCTTTCTCAACTAAAGTGGCTGAAGATGTCTACTAACTTCACAGGCACAGAAGTTAGTAGACATGCTCACCTATATTATAATGAATTTGGAACTTCTGCAGGATAAAAGTACTCCAAGTAGACCCTCCATAGCCTGACATCTCACACTTGTGCATTTTCAGCTGCTTCCTCAACCAAAGTTATAAAATATGTCTACTAACTTCTGTGCACAGAAGTTAGTGGACATGGTCAACTAAACTATTATTAATCCAGGACCTTAGTGCCATGAAAATATGCCAGTAGACCTTCTAGTCTGTAGTGGCAATATTATTCCTCTACCAGCTCCATCCTTAACCAAAGTGGTGAAAGATGTCCACTAACTTCTGTGCTAGGGAAGTTAGTAGACATGATTAACTATATTATCATAAGTGGAGGACTCCAGCAGGATGAAAGACATTCTATGGCCTGTCTGTCAACCCCCCCTCCCCTCCCCCCAGATGCCCTCCCAACCAAGGTTAGTGCACATCATAAATTGTAAGCACCCCCCTTGCTAACTATGTCTCAGATCCTCTACTGACAGTCCCAACACCTTCTATAGAGACTTACATATTGATACCCAAATAATAAATTGTCCTACATGCTCATACCATATTAAAATCCTCCAAATATCCCATATAAAAGATGTCTACTAACTTCAGACTCATCCATCACTAGATCAAAAGGCTTATATCTCCTTAACTACTTAAGCTATTGATAAACGGTTTGTACATTTAGTATCAGCAGAGCATTCTGCACAACTTTCGTTTTTTGATGCGCCATCAGATCGGGACGGCGGGCGGGACCATGGGCGACCCCAAGATCAACAGCCATCAGCAACTTTGATGGCAGTGATGGGATGAGGGCGGGGGAGGGCGGGCAGAGGGCGGGACTTGACAGCAGACAGCGATGATGACCTTCACTGTCATCGTGTCATCCAGTGATCATCCATTGATGCTCCGGCCAGCCCGCTCCCCAGCCCGCTCCCCCCAGCTGGCCTCCCCCCTTCCCCCCCAAAGACTCCCTGTCCACTAACATCCTGTCCACTAACATCCAGAAGGGAGTTTAAGGAAACACAGCGGATATTCATTATCCCCTCTAGTTAGAGCTTCACCCCCTGAGGCTCTAACTAGAGGGGATAAGTGGGCAGGTTAGGTGATTTTCTCTCAGAAAAAATCCATTCAAAAGTTTCAAACTTTTTGGGGCTAACCTTTCAGAGGGAGAAATTATAGAAACAGTCAGTGACTAGTATGGAGCATGACCTTGTCAAGTGACCCAGACTCCGGAGGCCAGTTTTGGCCAATGAACTGTCAATATGACTACACAATTAGACGACTCAACTTTTGTCAGACTAATTATACTAGTAGAACCTGGTATGTACCTGAGCAAGACTTATAGATCACATGTCTTAATCTTAAAAGCAAATTCTTTTCACTGACATTCTAGTAATTATTGACCCAGATTACTAGTAGTATTAAACCCTCTTGTTCAAATCGTACTCAGTGATGACCCCTTATTATCCTTATATATCTTGAAGGAAAGACCCTTTTGAACAATGCTAGGCTCTCCAAATAAGTGAATTCATGGCTACATACAGTAATAAATAATATGCCTGCGTGTCTCTGTATCAAAAAACTCTGATAAAAGGAATGTGGGAAGAGACTGGAATCATAGTAGAACGAGATAGTTAGATGGGACGACTGTGGAAGCACGTCAGCAATACAAACCACCCAGAATGTGGAGAAATACACACCTCCAAAAGTTCCATCGGCCTTCTTGGCTTGCCACCACTTGCCCTGCTGGTCCTCAATCTCAAGAATTTCACCTTTGGCGAAGGTGAGTTCGTCTGGGTCATCAGGCGAGCCTTGGTCTGGTGTATCGTCAGTCCCTTGAAGAATAAGGAAGTGTAAACGGCGGGCTTACAGGCATGCAACGCGCGTGCCCGGGGCAGAGGCACGGATCCGTTGTCGTCGACTTCCACCACGCTATTTGAAGCGGCCTTTATCGTTGACGACGACGGCGAGCGGGCGTGGTCGGGTACTTTGGGAACTGCGGGAATGGTGACACCGATGCTGCTACTGATGATAGATGGGACGGGGATGTTAATGCCAGACGAGACTCGCGCAGGGGACGACGAGTACGGGTAGGAGTGTTCAGGGATGTGGACGGAGGAGAGGGAGTGGAGCGGCATTGGAGGGATGTAGCCGGGGCTGGAAGGCGGTAAAGGGAGGTCCTCCTTGAGCGAAACGACGCTTTTGCGGCTCGACAGCGAGCGTGTGCCTGTGTTGCTCCGCTTGAGCACGGATGGGCCGGGAACAGCTGGGACCGGAGGCACGGATATGGGCGCGCTTGCCGTGTGGGTTGACATCATACTCCGCGCAATGCTCGCTCGGCGCACAATATCTGACGAGCTGATGCCCGCTCCCAACACATAATTGTCCAGGTTTGCCTCCTTGTCCATCCCGTTTCCTCTTCTTCTCCGCGTCAGACTCAGGCCGCCTCCCGCACCACCCTTTGTCATCTTGTTGAAGAGGTACATTGCCAATGAATCTTCCTCTGACGTGAAGTAGAGCACCCAGAGCAGGTCGATGATTGTGCAGAGGAGGTAGCCCACCCCCATAGCGTCAAGCGCGGACTCAGCCTTGAGCGGCGCGAATATCCCAGCATGTATTCCCTGGACCGAGAGCACTATAGCAATGCTGCCGAATACTGAGACCTGGAGACGCATAGCAGGGACAGAGTCCGTCGCGATGGCGAGAATGACACCAATATCGAGAAACGCTTGAAGGAAGATAGCGAACCATAACACGCCCACGGTGCGGTTCCCGACTGTCCACAGGTTAGCGCTGCGCGACAAGAGGTGGACGCGTACATTGAGCAGTTGCGAGTGCTTGTGAGACGAGTGTCAGAAACCAGACAACCTGACGGGTGTCAATGTCGTCGGCAAGAATTACGTCTACTCACGATCGACAGCACCACCGTCGTCAGAAAGAAATAGTGCGTCCTGAACGGCGAGAAAGAGAGGCGGGGTGCCATGGGCGGGGTGCCAGTGGTGGGGGTAGGAAACGAGTGGGAAGCGAAGAATCGCCAACCTCTACAGGAGTCTACCCACGGAATGACGCGGATCCTGAATTAACTACACTGATTGTTCGTCGCCTCCCGTTCGCGTGTGTGGGACTGTCAGCGTACATACGATAAGCTGGTGCTCCATAAATCACGCTCGTTCGTCGCTACGTGGCACGATGCTTGTGTTGTTATTGCTCGACGCTGGTTGCCTGCTGTCCAGCCCACCGGAGGCCATGATCGGGCAACAGTTGAGATGAGCTGGCGATTGTAGAAGTCAAGCAGAAGTCAAGATGCAGATATGATTGAGATGGAAAGAATCAATGGAGTGTGCGAACAGTCAATCTCGGAATCTGCTCCGAGTCACATGCGGTCACGGTCCATCAAATTAATTTAAGAACTTGAAAACACAGCGCGAAAGCTGCGATGACTTGCGCCTGTTCAGAGTCAACCGTAAACAAATGATGTCAACAGCAGCCAGCTTGAAGTACATTTAAGTTGATTTAACTTGCAGCGAACTTGAAATCATGTCCGCGCATACGAAATAGCCATCAGCATGCCCTTATGGTCCAGCAAGACCACCAAGCCCAGCGTGTCATCCAATGCGGCGAGAACAACCGAGCCTAGCATGATGTCGCCCACATCGAGACGCCTGAACTCGAAGGACTCCGCGTCCGGGGGAAGATGGAGCAGCGCGAGGTAGTCTGTTGCCTCGGTCGTGTCGCCGTCAACATCGCCATATCCGAGCAACAGCGCGTACCGCCCGCTCGAGCCGACTGCACACTGACGGACCTTGCTCACGTGTTGGAAGCATTTCGGTGCGTGTCTCCCCAGAACCAAGCGCGCATCCTCGCCGATGTCCGAGGGCCAGAAAAGAACGCAGGAGCGCGTGAGGTGGTCCTCATACGTGAGGCAGGTTATCGAGAAGACCCCGTAGCACGGCGCAGCGAGGGGCGCAATCGGCGGCTTGACGTAGGTGCCGAACAGCCCATCGGGCGGGTCGGGGAAGTCGAGCGGGGGCAGGATGACGCGGGAGCAGGTTAATATTTGCTCCAAGCGCAGGATTTCCCCTGGAGAGCCGTGGTCTGAGAGGTGGGACAAGTCGATAACGTCGAGCATCGGCCCGCGCTCGCTTGTCCCACCGTCAGAGACGTACAAATAATCTCCGTGACGAAAATGGGCTAGGATGACGCTCTACAAATATGTAATCCCTGCTTTTTCTCAGAGTATAGAGCGCACCTGTTGAGCCAGAGGATGGTCGTGAGGCTGTACAATGACAGCATCGGTCTCAAAGACCCAATAAATCAAGTGTGAGGTCGTGACCAGTCCGATACCTTCTTTAGAAGCGAAGAGGTATCTCCACGGATAGGAAACGTTGCTCACATCAGGGGAAATGTCGATTGTAAGCGTCACATTAGAACGGTCGGTGAAATCCAGCCAGATAGCTGCAAGATGTTGGATATTTTTCAGTCTAGAGAAATGTTACTTGATAAAATAAGCTGGAAATTCAACGCTCACCGAGGCTGCACACAGCCGATGACGAGTGCCTTCCCGGGAGTATCCATGCATACGCTGGAGGAAGCCGGTAAGAGACCCACGTTAGCCTGCTTTGGCAAGCTCGCGACACTTTGCGAGGTGAGCAGATCCCAGCAACTGATACCGGAGTAGCTCTCGACCAGCGCGAGGTAGGTGCCTGGAATGCAAATGACCCGTTTGATGAGCCACCCCGCGTGGAACTGCGTTGTAAACACAGGCACTGGCCCCTCTGGCGAGTGCAGATTCTGTAGCAGACGATGGGCGACCTTTACAGCGTCCACGAGCTGTTCAAGGCTTAAAGCAGCAAGATCTTGTGCATGTTGGAGCGGCAGTGGGTGTAGTTGGACAGTGCGCAACCGCCAGATGGCGTATATCCACAGCGCCTTGTGCCACTGAAGGTTGCGAATCACGCTGCATGTCTGACCACGCAAAGTCGGATGAGCGCGAGGCCACGGTTGGAAAGGTGCAACGTACGGACAGGAGACTGAACAAGTCACGTATATCAAGCCATTTCGCAAGCTCGAGTAAGAGGTCTTGCGGAAGCCCAGCTAAACGACTTTCCATCGGTGACCGAGGATGTGACTCTACGTCACATGTCACACTGCCTATAAAGGGCAGCGGAAAATTTTCGCAAGCCTTCGAACAAACCATGAGGACGTATGTCGCCGTTCTTCTCCCCGTGTCGCCGTGGCTTATGCTGACTCCTTGCCCTCACAGATAAAAGTTCGGGCCCGGTAACAAGCTCTTCCGCCTCCGGGCCCGCGTTCCCGTCTTCTAGAGCGATGACCGCCACTTGTTGGTGGCGGGCCTCGTACCTCCGTACTGTCATTCATCGAATTCTGGCCAGGATGAAGAGGCTGCCGCCCTGGCTGGCTGGCCCAGGACTCGTTCTCGCTGGATGGAGGATGTGGTATGGACGGTGTGTGACCTACATTTCCCTTCCCCCAATCGCCATCCCCTACGTTATCTATATGTCGTCCTCCCTGCTCCATCTTTTCCGTCTATCACAACCCCCTCCGTCCTATGTCAACCCATCTTATCCTCCCGTGTCCCTGTTTGTCTACACCCTACTGCGTGCTTGGTAATTGCATCTCCACCCAACTCACTATGCCCACGTAATCCCTCAATATACCACTCATCTTGGACCTTCTCGTCGCACTATGTCGGACCTAATAATACATTACATATAAACCAGTTAATATAGTTAGAAGGTCCAGTCCTCTGCTGCCTTGAGCACATCCTCAACCGTTTGCTTGACGTCCTCTGCCTCTTCCTCTGACCACGGCTGGGGATGTGCTGTGGCCAATTCGCACAAGCCATCGAAGAGTGCCGTTGTTGGGAAATGAAGAAACACTGGCCGTGGGTGCACATCTCCCCCTTCTTCAAAATGAACCACATGGAGCTGCAGTTTGCCGCGGCTACGAATCGCACGTCGCAGCCAAGGGCCATAGCGCAGACTCACAATGTCTGCAGGGTACAGGGTACCTTGTGAGAATCCTGCCCACTCCTTGACGGTATAGTCCCAGCTGACGACAGGAAATGTTCCTGTCTGTTCAATGTCAGTGTTGCTGAGTGCTTCCACGAGTTTTAAAGATAAGTCCAGCCGTTCATAAGTGTAGTCGTTGGCAAGAATGACACGCTGGAAGTCTCGATCCGAGGTGCTGATGAGGCGAGTTGTGTTCACCTGGAATCCATCTGTGGCCAGCGCGTCCCGTTGGCCCGCCGAGCAGACTGACGTTGGACCAAACAGTGCAAACGCAGCACACTCTGTTCGATGCCCGCTTTTCCAATCGGCTCGCTGGCATGTCTTGGAGCAGTAGAACGTGGACTGGCACCCACTACACCTTTTGAGCTTCGCGCTGTGTTCGTGAGGGAGCACTTTGCACTGAAAAAAATATGGATGAACTCGGCCTGAGAGATCCGATAGGGTGAATGCTTACCTCAAAATTCCCACATGCACTGCGAATGTGGTGCATCCCGGTCCACGTTCCTTCCCGAAACTCGGTATAAGTACGAAGCCGCCCATACGCAATGTCGATAAGTAGCGACCATGGGTCATTGGCCTCTATGGGGAAGAGAAGAGGCGGTGCCATGTCGTACCCTTCACGGAACTGGTTCGACGACTCCTCGAATTGGCGTAAGAAGGATGGATAGACCGTCATGGACATCATCCAGTCGATCATATCCACAACAGTTGTTGTTTTCATTTGGCGGTTACTGCTCTTTCCATAGGAAAAAAGCAACGGAATGAGGCCCGCTTCGAGCGCCTCCACCATGTAGCGTTGGGGCTCTTGAGCCTTCAACAGAGTCCCCAGCGCCACCAAGAAAAGCTCCATCAGCCGGACGTGTTCGGGAGGGAGCGGATGCGCAACGAGTATATGCAGGGTATTAACGAGATCCCCAACAAATCCGCCACGCACCAGCGCTTGGCGGAAGGCAAAGGTCTTATCAATGCCCACGAGTGAATAATATGCCGCATTGATGGATATGAGCTGCCTTATGCCCAGCGGCTCCGAGAATTCATGGTCTTCGATGACTTGTCGTATATGGCGCACCAAAGCATCCGCTGAGCGCTCCCAGGTTCCGCCACAGCCCAGCCGCAGGGCATTGGTAAGCCTCGCCACGTCTCCGCGACCCCAGCGCTCGATCAGTGTCGAGAAAGCAGCCATAGCTTGAGCGCCAAGCATCCAATCAACGTCTTCTCCAAGCTCCAAACGAACGAGAATGTGGCTCCATGCGCGAGCTGCCAAATAAATAATACGATGGCCGATGTCAAGTCCCGACATATTTTCCACTTTTGCATCGTTTAGCGGGCATCCCAGCCCCAGCGCGATGATGTACAACAGATAGCGTGACGGCGAATTCTCTTCGTTGTCTTCAAGTCCGTTTGGCAGCCTGAGTGGAATGGGCAGGCTTTCATCAAATTGGTCCAGGAATTCCACCCAAGCTAGTATTCTGACCCAGAATATCTCGATTATGTCCGCTGGCGTGGTTTCGTCAATCCCCACCCAGACAAAGCCATGGAGCGCCAGATGGACGCGCAGAATGCGTTCGCGAGCGGCATCGATCTCGAGCTTGTCCAAGGTGTCGAGATTTTTCAGATGATCGATGTCGTCAGAGGCAAGCGCGTCGTAGAATAGGGGGAGTAGCAGGAAACATTGTGCTCGTGGGATACCCTGATGCTTGGTCATTCCTGCGAGCCAACCAAGAGCTGCAGCAGAGCCATTGCGCGCTCTCATAGCAAACATCTATACAGAGTTTGGTCAGCCGTGCGTGGTATGACATGAAGCGGTTACTCGGAGTCCAAGAGGAAGGCGCTGCAGGTTGGAGAGCTGAAGTGCAGGGTGTGTCATGACAAGTACTGAGGGAAGAGAAGATGACACGTGCTGCTCGAATGATCATTGATCACTGTCAGTCGAGTGATCAAGCTCGAAGTAGGAACATAGTATTAAACTAGTAGGCAGCTAATGCTACTAGTAGTGTACTAGAAGGTCCAGTTATGCTTCTTGAGGAGCAGCTCTTTCACCCTCGGTTGTAGTCTGGCCTTCTCCGCCTCCGTCCACGCAGACGCCTTCCCCTCTGCCAACGTTTTCATACCGTCGAACAGCTCCGTTGTCGCAAAATGCACGAAAACCGCACGTGAAAGATAAATGCCGCCCTCATCACGCCGCACGAGATGAAGCTGCACCCTTCCTGCACTTCTCTTGACACGGGCTAGGTACACTGACCACTCCTCGGCGAGGACCTGCTGGGAAATCGTGTGGATTTCCGGCTTCCCCGAGCTATAGTCCCAGATAGCGATGGGGAAGTCACCCGTGGCTGCGTCGTAGCCTTCCAGCATCGTTATCCACATCAACGCCTGTGACTCCAAGCCCTCATATTGGGCGGAGAGCATGGCACGTTGAAATCGGCTATCTTGGGCCGTGAATGGCCGCCGCCGTATTATATCAAAGCCATGTCTGGCAAGCGACCCTGCGTTGATCGGAGGACAGACCGACGTGGGGCGGAATTCAGCGAAAGTGGGACACTCGTGACGATGTCCCTCAACCCAATCTGCGCGTTGGCACTCGGTTGAACAGTAAAAAGTCGCGATACATTCGCTGCATCTCTTGAGCAGCTTGCGGTTCACAATCGCTGCGCACTATTGATGTGTCACGAATGCATAGTACGAGTAGCTTGTACAAGGCTTACTTTAAAGTTATCACATGCTCCTGTGGTGATCCAAGGGAAGACTCCCTCGTCAAGATCGTGTAATGCTAGAGAATGTCGATGTGTCTTCTCAAGCAATTCTTCCCATTGTTCTACAGCGGCAAAGGGTTGCAAATAGACACGAGAATCGAGGTTTTTGACCTCCCCAAGCGACACCTGCAGTTGGCGAAGTACCGAGGGGTAGTATGTGAGGGGCATAATGTTAGCGATAACGCGAGCGTGTGTTTGTGTTTGGTTTTCTCGAGTGAATGCACCTACATTCGGGCCGTGACTGTAGGAGAACAGAAGCGAGAGGTATCCGGCTTTGAGCGCTTGTACCATGTACTTCTGCGCATTTTGCACCCTCAACATCTGCGCAGATAGCCTCAGAAAATCACGAGGGATCGTTTTCAAACTGTCAGGCAATGTCTGTCTTGCGAGGATGCGGTTTATGGTGACGAGACAAGGAATGACACCCGCACGCGCGAGAGCGTGGCGGAGAGCGGGAGCGCCGGATTCCGATGCGGCGCGATCGAGAGGGGGGTGGAGCCCCGCAATGGACATAAGCTGCCATGTGTCGAAGGGTTTTTCTGGATTGTGACCCTTGAGGCAGTATTGGAACTGCTGCACGATGACCCTCGCCAAACGATCCCACAATCCACCGACGCCAGCGAGCAGAGGAGCCATGAACGCCTCCGGCCTGTGCCGGGCAACCTCCTCCATAATGAACGTGATGGCCCTCAGCGCTTGTCTAGTTCGGCTTGTTGGACGAGCAACATGTGTATGAAGGGAATTCGAGTGCTCGACATGTGCCCCTTGCAGAATATGGGGCCATGAGCGCCCAACGAGGTACAGGAGACGATCTGCCACATCATCCGGGTAAGGTTTTGAGAGGGAAGGGTCACGGTTATCGATGAGAGCAGCCACCAAGGCGTTCAGGTAGATTTCGTATGGCAGAAGTCCGAGAGCCACAGAGTTTTTGAGGATGGGTTGGAGCTGCTCGTGGAATTCGTCAAGGAAGTCGACCCATGCAATGATTCGTGGCCAGAGAACGGCGCCGGGGAAGACTGCACCAGGGGTAACACTCTTTGCCGAGTCAACGCCGTCAAGTGCCACGATAACACGCAAAATGCGTTCCAGCGTTTCAGCATACGACTCCCTTGACTCCGACGGCTCTTCCAAGGCAGACGCGCGCGTTTTCACGGTGTCAATGTCTTCGATAGAAAGCGCTTCATAGTAAAGCGGAAGTAAAAGTGCCCTATGCCCGTCGGCCATGGTACCGGTATCAGAAAGGAAGCGCAAGGCAATTGAAGAACCATTGAGAGCTCTCGTCACCTGGGTCTTTTTTTTGCTCATTAGAGGTGGGCATTGACAATCTGAAGCGTGGACTTACGCGGAATCTTTGAGGTAGTTTCCGTAGATTCGAGCGATCGAGAGCCGGATGCGACATCAAGGTAAAAAAAGAGTGTGATTTTATGGTGTCACACTAGTATCAAGTAAGGAAAATCGGATCGAAAACAGAATGAATGCATACTAAAGACAACAACTAGAAGCTACCAACAGTACCACAACAAACGAATAAAGAAAATAGATAAGGATAACAAATACTATGCACGCCCATCAAGGCTTAAAGTCCGGGCGATCCCATTCGTCATCGGACACATACTGCGAGTTGCGTATATTGATACCCTCGTCCTCGTATATCTTGCCTGAACCATAGCCATAACCATCGACGGGGCTGTGGCCGCCGCGAGTATCTTCTTCCCATTCGTCCACTTTCTCGTCGCCATAAGCGGCAGCGGCAGCAGGAGCACCGACGACAACGCCGGGGACGTTGGTGAGTGTGGCTTGTGAGTCTCGAACGAGGCTACGGTAGTTGGGCGGGACGGCCAGGTTGGCATTGGTGTCGAGAGTGGTGGTAATTGGGGTGGAATTGGAGGTAGGTCCGGCGACAACATACGAATTCGCCATGTTGGTGTGGATTGTGGGCTGGGTATCAATGGCCTGGCCGGCATAGTCGGTATAATGTCCTTGATAAGTCGCGCTGACGGGCCCAGCATCTGGCACAGTCATTATCATCTGCGTTCCCGAATGCGGAGTGGGCGGGACGGTATTGGCCATCATGGTAGCGGGAACGGTTCCAGAAACGGATCTCGATGCAGGTTGGGGTGTGTAAAAGCTGAAGGCGGAGTCTAAAACACACACATATCAGCACGAAGATATTTAGGAAAAGAGAGAGTAAATATACCGATCCGTTTGCGACGACGCGCTTGTGCTCGTCTCCGCAAACAAAAAACTCCAAGGAGGAGTAACAAAAGGCCCACTACTCCACAGACAATACCGATGATGAGGCCAAGATTCGGACCATGCTGGCTTGCGGCATTCTGTGGGTTGGCGGAGCCAGAAAGTCCCGGACCGACTGAGGACGAGCCATCAGAACCGGATTTGCCGCTACCGGTACCAGTCTGCACTGGACCTAGAGCGCTGAAAACATTGCCGTTTGAGTCGGTGATAACTGCGCCACCAAGAGAAGGTAGTGGCCCATTCGACCGTGTAGGTCCAGTCAAGGAGCCGGATGGGTTTGCGAGGGCGGCGCCGCTGGAGGCTGGACCGTTTGGTAGTGCGGAGGACCCAGATGGGTTTGTGCCTGGCCCATTTGGTGTCGATGATGATCCGGGGTCGCCCGGCTTGGTGGGCGGTGGGGGTGGGGGAGGTGGTGGAGGATTTGGCTGATGCGAGTCATCTGGTGGGCTGTTTCCACCCTGGACGAGGAAATAATCAACACCAAGGGCAGTACCACCAGAGTAGGTAAAGCGGAACGTATGCTGGCCTCCGCGGAGGGAGGGAGACGTGTAAAGGTTGTTGTTGTATGAGGTGGAACCAGGAGATGGCGCGTTTTTCGAAGGAATCGAGACTGGAGAGCCGCCGTCGATGGAGACGGTAGCAGCAAGAGGGCTTTGACTATCGCCGCGGAGAGGCCCACGAAGAGATAAAGTGTCGCCTACAAACCAATGAGATGTGCATTCTGAGCTTATAACGTTGACGCACCGTCCAAGAAGTTGTACTTGACCTCGACCCATTCGCCCCTTGTCGAAGTATGGTGGCTGGTTTGCAAAAAGTAGTCAAAGTTATTATCCTGCCCCCATGTTCCGGAGAAGGAGACCTTCCCCCAATCTGCGTCGTCAATCATAACGCTCTGGCCCGAGCCACGACTAGGAGCGGTGTATGTGATGTAATCCAGCAGGAACGTCGAGATGATGGCGTCGGTGTTGGTAATCGTGAGCGTGTGTTGTCCGGCGGGAAGATTGGAGTACGAAAAGATGCGCTGGTGATGCATGATGTTTCCGGGAGCGACGGTGGGGAGATAGAGCTGGTTGGTTGCGCCGTCGATGTTGACGGCTAACGTTGTCTGGTGGGAGGGGTTGCCGGTAATGGAGCCATAGACAGACACCTCAGTACCTGTCATAAAGTTCTGTACCGAAGAAAACAGGTCCAGGTGAGACGCACCAGTAAAGGTAAAAACAGCCTTCGCATTTTGATTCGGTGGCATGGACGTTGTCCCGCCAAACTCAAGGGAGGAGCTATCCTGTTTCCATGATGGGCTGTACGAAATGAGTGAATCGCGGTCGTCGACGATAACGCTTGTCATGACGCCGACGGGGGGCGGGAAAAGAGTGGAAGGTGCTCTGAAAAAGAGCGGACGCGACGGGGCGCAGATGGACGTCGGGGATGAGTAGGTCGCGGGCGCCGACCGAGCACATTGACTTGAGCCTCACTTGAGCGATCGACGAAACGGCTGATTGGATCGCATCTCTGATGGACCACCTATCCAATACAAGCCATACGGTCGGATCAGGCGGTTCCGTCGTTTTATAGATTAACCATGCTATTCTGTCATGGAATTTGTTGCAAATTCGCTGGCGCTGAGCCAGCGTGCCTGGTCGTTGCAGTGAGTTTACACTGTTTTCGGAACAAGATGTGCGACCAACTAGAGCAGTATTACGTCTACATGGCGGCGCTCGAGGTGCAGCACTCGACAAACGAGTTGGAGTTGAGAGAGTGGTTGGGAAGAGGGAAGAGAAGAAAGTCACGTCATCGATCAATCAGCCCGCTGACAACGAAGATCAACCGATGATCTTTGCAGCGCCAAACAGTGCCAAAGAATGAGTCAGCCAATCCTTTCCATCGTCCACAACAGTGTGGTCACCACGCCACGTACATGGTCTGCGCCGGTACATACGAAAAATAATGTGCCTCTTCACCCTCCCTCCCCCCTTAATCCCGGCTTAATTTTCAACCCGCTGACAACTCACTTCAAATCGTCCACATCCCTCGTCCGATATCTCGGGCTCAACAGTCAACTAGGCAAACGATCGTGATGGGCTAGGCTTCCGATTTTGGTCGCCGACCCTTGCGCCGACCACCATCCAATGCGGCATCCTCCATTTTCGATTCGAGTCGGGGTGCACTGTACGCGTCATGGCCGTTTGGGACCGTGCCCGCTCGGCGAGACCATTTACGGCCACCACGCAAATAGAACAGCGCAGCAAGAGCATCTCCCAAGGGATAAATACGCTACCATCCGACAAAACACCGAAGTCGCGCCGCGCCGTCTACTAAGCAAGTTAATAAGTATTATGACTTCTTAGTACCGCCGCTCGTCCTTTGTACTCTCCTGAGAGCACTACCAGTATGCAAGCTGATCCTTGCCCTCAGGTGTCAACCAGCTTCCTGGTGAAATTTCGTATTGCCTTAGAATCGGCGCCTCTTCATGCTGTATCCGAGTCCTGGACTGGAGTCTGGACCCGAAAAGTCCTAGTCGGACTGAATTCATCATCATCCAAGGACGGCATCCCGCGCCACATAGGAGAATGGAACTGCTTATTAATGCCACAACTATTTTCCGCGTCGTGGACCATGGTAACTTGAAGCCTTGCTAGTTGCCAGCTCGCGTCAAACAAGCTCGACTTCACCCTTCGTGAGTCCATACCCACAAACATTGACATATATTGACTCGTCGTCTGCGTATCATAGATGTTGCAACTCCGAGTCTTCGTCTTCTGGGCCTTGCGCGCACAGTAACAACATTTCCGGGTCGGTGATGTCGTCCTCATTGGGAGACCCGAACGGCTCGACGTTTACGTCTACATTTTTCATCCCGCCATTTGAAACTTGTCGTTCAAGCAATATCCAACACCAATTCTACCACTCGGTGCTCGGGCTAAGTCGGTCTGGGACGGCCAGCGTCATTGTAATCCTGCTACGCTGAGTATGCTCCAACACTACGCCCTTTCTCCATGGGCGTCCCTTACCCAGAATGAGCATGGTAAGCACAGTCTCTGAACCGTATAAATGCTCAGCTTATTCTCAGAGCTACCTCAGCACATTTGCTTCCTTCGCTCCCAGTCTCATCCCCTCAGTAAACAAACAACAAGATGTTCTCCAAGCAAACTCTCCTTGCTTATATTAGCTTGGCCTCGACTTTAGGGCTCGTCAACGCGTTCAACGGCACCGGTTCGTTCGTCCCACTGCTATCATATCGATCCCAAGGCTGACATATCCACATTGAAGCTTACCTTGGCTTTGCCAACGTCGAGGGCTGCAGCTGCCCGGCCTTCAACGGGCCATACGGTGTCGCCGTCCCGCGCGCGCTCGTCGGGAGTCATACCTGCTGCAACGAAGGTGTCACTCTCAGCTGTATGTCTCCTGCACTTTTCCTTCGTTCAAGTTGTCTTTCAGGTTTTTACTCACGCATCGATTCACAGACAAGGGCAACTCCGTGACCGCAGTATTCAGTGGATTCTTCGACGCCGAAGGGGCGCAGGACGTAGCGCTTAGTCCACGGGCTTTCAGCGACCTTGCGCCGAGCACCTGGACTGGCCCGGTCGAGGGTGTTGTTTGGCAATTCGCTTGAGCGCGGCGCTCAGGCTCCCGGTGACACTGGCGCTATTTGCGACACCAGGAATAACTTGTTACTTACCCGATCTGTTCTTCCATGGCCCCGGTCGAGTGGGCATACGTCGCAGAATAAATTGGTGTTAATGTCTTCAAACTTGACGAGCCGAAGAGAACGCAGAGAGCTGGTCCGGACATCTCAGCGACTCCAAAAAAAGTGAGTGGCAGAATGAACGCGCGCCGGATAACGATTAGGATACGTTCATTGGGCTTCCACTGATTAACGATCTTTGCTAACGTTAACAAACGCTTCGATTCCAAGAAGCCACGACAGCGCGACGCCTGCTCCAACATCCCGTCTGCCAAATGCGCGACCGTTCTTCGGTTCAGGCTCTTGTGACTTTGACATTCGCAATGTCGGAAAGGATTATAAAAGGTTCCCCCATTTTTCTGTTTCTTTACTCGAACAGCCAGTTCAAGTTCTTTACTCCTCTCTACTACTCGAACACCCAGTTCAACCCCCACACACTCCTTCACAGAACAATGTTCGCTCACATCATCGCTCTTTTCACTCTCGCTGTCAGTACCGCTCACTTTGCGGGCCCTGTCACCGCGTTTTACTAACGATTTATGCAGACCCTTGCCGCCGCCGCACCCAGCGGCCTCGCTGCCCGTACTGAGGCCACCTGTTGCGCGAGCATCGTCTCCTCGACCAGCCACGTCTGCTCCGAAGTCGCTGCCCTTGTTGGCCTCGACCTTTCCGGCCTTGGAGACATCCCCGTTGGTCTCAGCTGCTCTCCAATCACTGTTATTGGCAATAACTGGTGGGTGTTCAAAGCTTTTTCAAATCGAGAATTGTTTTTACTAAAACATATATCTTTTAGCGGTGGAACCACTGTCACTTGCTCAGGCCCCTCGTCCGCAGGAGGACTCATCTCCGTCAACTGCATCCCCATCACTCTCTAAATATGTGCAGTGATCAGAGCCTGGCCACGTACTATATCTTCTCGTTGTAAAAATTGAGCGAGAATAATACCCATTTGCATTTTGACTCCAAGTTGCGCGAAGTCCATCATCCCAAAAACAGTAACTCTGACCGATGACGACGCTAAATTCAGATGAACATTGGTTCGGTGCAGCCACACACGACGTACTGGTTCATAATCTTGGGCGCTATAGCCAAGATACTTTCAGTATTGATGAGTACAACCCTAGATACTTACTGTAGTTGCATTTGTGAGGCGCCGTTACATCAGGGAAAATTCAAACTTCCCTATAAAAGCCTATAAATCAACTGCATATCCCAAAGTATTCCATAATTTTCTAACATTATGACATTTCTTGGAATTTCCAAAATTTCCCGAAATAACCTTCTACCAATCTAAGTTAGGCAAGATTTTGATAGTATTTCGACATACGTCAGGTTTGAAGGCCAAGCATGTAGGGGTTCACTCTCATCGAAAGCCTGAGCATTGAACTGCTGTGGAACCAGAGTATATACGAAAAGAGTAGGAGTAGGACTGGCCTGATAGGACTCAATCCTATTGGATGGGACTCAGTCCTATTAAACAGGACTCAGTCATGTCAATCTGCACAGTACTTTAACACAAACTGTCATTACCTATCAAATTACCTATACACCATTACTTTACTCTTATATTAAGCAGATGTCGTGTGAATGTATGTGCATGATTGGGATTGGCTTTAACAATTGATTTGCTCCACACTCCCATTTTTGGGGCCACGGAGGCTGTTAAAGTTCTAAATTGGTAAGAGAGCTGTAAAATGATCGAGCAAGCCACCCGCGCCTTCCCCAGCGCCCGCAGACCACGAGAGCCCCTAACCTTCTATGTCAGCAAGACAGAGCTAGTGGACCGTGATCTGGAACCCCGACTGGGAGTGGGCATTGCCTGTGACACTGACCCCACTCTGGATCGATGCTGCTGGCCCGAGAGGGAAGTGGCCCCAGCCCCAGCAGCTGGAGAGTTCCTGGCTGCTCTGCTCTGCCTGCTAGTGCGCTTAGTTCACCCTGTGACCCCGCTTGACATCTATCCCGGACGGCCACCCTAACCAAGGAGGTGGGCAACATGGCGAGAAACTAAACCACCGGGTGGATAGGGCTCGATTTTAAGCCCGTCCGACGTGCTTTGGCAGCTGCCCTGCAAGAGCGAACTGCCACAACGACTTTCCACTGTCTAAAGGCACTGAGTCAGTCTGAGGGGCGCCTTTTCACTAGGGCACACTTACAGGCAGACGGTGGCGCCCAGAGGCCAATGCCCGACCCATGTCAGGGGAAACCCTGATGCCGTCATGCGACCAGAGCGCAAGCAGGCGCACACCGAAGCTGCGCAAAGGTGTAGTTGCACCATCTCTCGGAGAGGCGCTGGAACCGCAGGTCTCCGGGGCATCTCCGAATATGGGAGCTCAACCACTGGAGAACGCAAGTACTCCACAGGTTGACCTTGGCAGCGGCGATCATCGGAGCAATGCCAAGGTAATATCACACTGGCTCTTGGAGATGGACAGTCTCTGGACATCGACAGAGACAGGAGCTTGGCCACTGGAGGACAAGGGACTCTGGAGGATGAGCTCAGTGACCCCCCGATTTTTTTTCCTGCATTGGGGCGATGCAGCTTGAAGGGGGGATGATGTCAGGGGAAACCCTGATGCTGTCACTTGATCCCATCAAGCGCCGCGTCTCCGCTCACGTCTCCGCATCTCCACTCGCGTCTCCGTGTGTCCACCCGAGTCTCTGTATTCCTGCACCCTGATGCTCCTCCTCCACTTCTCCCACCACATCCCGCATCCAGTGGTCCCCAGCCTCTGACTCCCATGGCCACCCCTTTCCAGGAGTCTTCCCAGAGTCACCATCAGGGATCACTAATGCCATCGGAGACCCCTCCGGATGTGGACGCACCACTTTCCTCTGAGACCTCGAGCCTATGGCCTTATAGCCTCTCTGGGCTGTCGCTCATTGAGGTCTCCCTGCAACCTCTACCCGTTGGACCTCTTGGGTGTCCCCAACCTACGTCAGCATTTGGGCTTATGTTCGGATGGCTGAGCCTCGCCATGGCTCCGATCCCCACTCCACCACCACAGCCCCCGTCATTGGGCCTTCCTTTGGGTGAGGCCTACTGCCGTTAAGGCTCGTGCCTATTGCAGCGCCCCAAGCTGCACGCCCTCACACCTCCACCTCTCTGGAGACGTCCGGGGACGTCTCCGAGTGACCCTCGCTACCCTCCAGTGGTCATGGCTGGCCGCCATTCCCATTGGTCCTCTCCGACACTCCCCGGCCCTTAGGCTAGACCGACTCCTTCCCTCTCCGCTCCATGCCCTCCCTCTCTGTTTCTGGCCGTCACGTCACGGTCACACACCCGGAATCGATTCCGATTCCGATTTCGATTCCGGTTGTCACAGTCACGGTCACAAGCGGAGACGCCAGAGGCAGTCTGGACCCCCCGAAGCCCTTCCTGGGCCTTCTAAGGATGCCTGGGCTCTTCCCTTGGCATCACGGTGATAAGCCGCAGTCTGGGACAGACCAGGAAACGACTATTTTTGTTGATTTTGTTGCTCAGCGCACGTCTCAGAGTTGACATGAGTCCCGAATGGTCAACTAGGGAGTTACCTGCACAAGAACCAGTCAAACTCCAGTCAAAATCTATCAAATCGCTCTCAGTGATTCCAAAATCTTGACTACGAAAAGTTCGCAGAGCCCGTTTCTCGCTAGAATCTATCCAATTCTATGCAAAATACCCAAAGGGAGTGTATTCTAAAAGGCATATTCGGTTTGGCGCTCAGTGGGGACTCGAGATCGACTTCTCCTAGATAAGGGACACCCCTATCTCTGTTGGTATCGACGACTGACATCATTGGAACGTGGTTTCGGATCATGCTGGAGGATCGAGAGTGCCAAGGGACGGTTAAACGGCGAAAACCTACTCAATTGATTGGGGCCTGGACCTGTGATCAACGGCGACTCTAAAACACTGTCGAGGAACTGATCATCTGAACATTGGAAATGCGCCAGGAGAGTTGGGACAACCACCGCTGAGGCCATACGCACAAGATACGAGTTATGGGTGTCAATCGAAAGCTGGGAAGCAGAGCTATCCACTTATCCTACTCAAGATCGAGGGATTCTTCACAAGACAAACTAGATGGTCGTGAACACGGAAGATTTACACAGGTCATTGACTCCAATACACGCGATACCAGTCATCTGGACCTGGATTTTCGACTCTGGGCCGTATGGCGAAACGATACCTATACAATTATGCACATGGACAACTTTTCTTACTCGAGATTTTCCCTGATTCTATCAATTTCTGTTTAGTATTTATATCTCTGTTTTGTATTTGGCAGGTTCACGGATTGCCCCGCTTTACTAGGTGCATCTGGGGATCTAGCTCGTCAATCTATCTTGCTAGCTCTTTCGAAATAGTATCATCGTGTCGGAAGGATTATTGGTTGAGGGTTTCGGTTGCTGAATACAAGAGTTCCGGTTGCTGTTTATTGGGTTTCGGTTGCTGGTCGAGAGTTTAAGGCAGTTAGTTCCTGACTCGAGACAACTCAGAGGGTTTAAGGCAGTTAGTCCTGATCCAACGAGTATAAACTCTCCGGGCATCGTATTGGCGCTTCTCTATTGCTGAGTTTCGTCGATAGTACGCTTTGGGGCACAACAAATCAACGTTTTTCGCAAGAAACTCGTATCTACCCTACAACCTTACACATCTGTGCCAAGGCTCTGTTCACAGGGGCCTGTACTCGCACAAGGAGTTGACGATTTTGGGTTTTGTGACTTTTCCTACTCGACATTATACATCTTTCTCTCTACAAAAAGTGGAGTTTTGGTTGTTTTTGTTGGTTTGGTTAGTTAGAGAGCTCATTTGCTGTCCCCACTCCGCACTCATCAACGGTCCCAAACCTGCCTCTCCGGAGCTTTGAGGGCTACTTGACACTCACCTAGGGTCCATTAGCGACACCTGACTTCTCCCATGCATCGTTTGTCACTATGCAGTCACTCTATTATTACTCCGGTCACTAGTATATAGTAGTGCACCTGAGCAGAGGGCTCCTTGGCTTGTTCTCTAAGGATTCCCCCTCTGCTCAGGTGAGTCTGTAGCGTCCCTTCCTGTTGTAGTAGTTTCACTAAGGATTCCCCCTCTGCTCAGGACTCTGATTTCGAGCCTTGCAAGGTTGCCCTTACAACCCAATCGATGTCCGCATACGAAGGGGCACCTTCCCACAAGGCGCCAGATTGTGCGATATGACATTGGCCCTGGTCACGCTGGCCATCCGGGAGCACGCAAAGCCTCACTTCAGGGCATCCACTGAAGTTAATATTAAGGCTGCCCAGTCCTTCATCGCTCAGCGAACAGGGAAGAGACCATTGAGGAAGAAGATTTTCCTGTCGATAAGATCCAGAGATGTACACCGCCAATGATTTCCCAGCTGCGACATAGCTGGGAAATCCGCGGCAGATACATGTCACACCCAGCTGGATCCATGATTGACACCAGCTGTCATCCATGTTTGGATGCAAATGGGTCCATGCTGGATCCAGAGTGCCTGGAAACCAGCTGGAGACCCAGGTAGCTGCCTTGTAGTCTACCTGCTAATAGACACAGTAGGCAGATAGGTGAAATGCCCAAAAAAATCACAAAAATTGCAGAGAAAAATTTTAGATTGCAACGGTAAGCAAATACACAAGTACTACTCAAACCCCACCACCAGCATCACCATATAAGCTGGGATGCCACCAGCCCGCGTGCGAATCCACTGCTCACATACCATCTGCAATGTGCCGAGCACGATGGCCCACAGGCCACTGGTCAACCACCATGGCTCTCCTCCAACAACGACAGATAAGGCGGCGGAGCTAGTGAACACCTGCCATTTTTGGGCATGAAATGTGCGAAGGCAGCGGCACATCCCCAGGCCCTATCAAACCCATGAGCACTGCAGACTGTGGAGATGAAT